GGCCAGTATATAAATAAAGGAGGTCATGGCATAAACGTAATCAAATCGCTGATGATTAGCTCGTCGTATATCTCATGCTGTTCACAGRCGATGAATGTTACGCTGAGCCTGGAAACCTGTCCCGTGTGCATTGTGTGTGATTGACGATGGTTATTGGTGCCTCGCGTCCACACTTGAYACTTGGTTTGGTTTTCTGGCCGCAGGCACTTGGATGTTCATTATATTACTTATATTGGCTCATGTGTGAAATGTGGATCGTACTGCGCGCGTCCACAAATAAGCTAATCGTGTGCGGCCACTGAACCGCATCACGGCAGAATTTTCATCTATTCTGTGTATGCGTATCTCACTCTCGTCGCTATGATCGCACTGTCACTTTCATGTAAGTTMAGTTTTCCACTGGAAAGCTGTCCTCCGAACTCTGATCTAATTTCCACTGCGACTGCTAGTTCCTGAACMYACAGTCATTGGTTGCCATGCTCGTTGTCCCAGCCAGAATCACGGCCGTCGTTAACTTCGCTGATCGTCAGGTACAGAAAACGATTCAGATGGCTATCAGAAACAACAACGTGGTCATCGTTAAATGGTTGCACATGAACCTCAAGATTAATATTCACCAGTCAGCTATGACGTGGGGGGTCTTCGGGCTAATTAGCACAATCACTGACAACGATGTCGCATGGATGCTCTTACAGTCTTACAGATTCCTTAACATAGCTCTCGGCAAAGCTCATTCGTATTCATCGAGTTTGACTGCAATAGAAAGACCATTTCTATGTTCCTCAGATAAAATTTGATWAAATTTAAGACATGTGACAGATACTGAGCTATCTGTTTACCRCCGATTTCCTTGTCATTTAACTGGTCAATTATTTTGCCGTTTTCTTATATCATTTTATCAGCATACTATACATAAAATACTCCATAAAATACTCCCCTTCAAACAAAAACAAAACATTTCTTCCTTAAACTATTTMCCATAGTTAACATATATGTATATAGTGCGCATGATACTGTAACCTATAATTTTACCCTGATACCTAAATATTATATTACTTTATAGGTCGATAAAATAGTTTAAAATTGTATCGTATAATTAAAAATATATTATGTAATTAATATTATTATTATTGTTGTTAACATGATGGTGACCCGAATATAAATTTTTATATTATTTTGCCATATTGTATAATTKTATGATACTTCAAATTTTAGATTATCGTTTTACTGTAGAATCATGCATTAATACTTTATTCAAGATAAGTATACACAGTACACATATTAGTTAATACTAGTATAATATTAAATGATTAGTTTTTAATTATTTTCTATTATTGTGCTATATTGTATAATTGTAACATTAAAAACTATTTGCTTTCTTTTGAATAGTTCAAACAAACATTTTTACAATAATTTTTTTGGCGAAATGTAGATTAGCATTGCCGTAATCTAACTAGAACAAATTTGGAATCATTCCGCAAATATTTCCAYCGCAAAATTTAATAAAATGTAAATTTTTTGAGATTGTTATCAACAAGTGTCATGGCAAGACAATTAAATKAAAAAAATTAACAATTTCACTTTTTTTTACACCAACATATTCATCGACATAAATATGAAGGTTGAAGATGAATGGCGCGATGATAATTTCATATCCGACTATTCCGTGTCAAGCAGCAACGGCCGACACGCTCACAAGAACGTCTGGTGTGCGTTGTGCCACGATGAACATATTGTTAGTGTGTAGATCGTATTCTGGAAACCACTATTCATGTATTACGTGTTTGACGGGCGGCKTTAAACTTTTGACCACATCCTATTGTACCGCGACTGCTAGTGGTAAGTGATTCACCTGCGATTACTGAATCCGGCCACCAGACTTGACCGTCACTCAATCATTGCGGCTGCGCTTCGGTGAGGGATTTGGCGGTATCGTAGACGGCTGGGACATGACGTTGACACTCCAACCACAATTTCCTTGGCGTGCTCATCACACACATACACCAGTTTCGAATACCAACCAGTCGATGACCATTATAGGCTCGTTTCTCGAAAGGTTGACTGCGCTTGCTGCAACTGCTCGACCACAAATCAGTTGACGTGCGAACCACCGCCTCCGCCGTTATGCAGCGGTGTATTAGGGTTCGTATCGCTGTTCACGGTCAGTGAGGCCGGCAAACGGAGTGAAACGTAGCCACCAAAACGAAAAATACATCGTAACTACGATGAAGTGCAAGAATGTGATTCGAGAAGAGATGTTGGGTGGATGCTTCGCCTTCGAACGTTCGTCCAATGAGAATACGACGTACGGAACAACGGGACAGTTTACCTATATGCGTAAAAGAAACGTGTCTGATACAGAATGGGATACCGCCCGACTGCCACGGTCACGGGTGTCGGGTCTCAATACTGCAGATGTGCACTGAGGACGCGGACGGGCTGCTCAAACCATGGTATGCATACCAACAATCAGCGTATACGCTGTGTACTGTCGTACGCGGGCGTGGTTGAATCGTGGCTGTCAGCCGTGGCGCTGATCGCGATYTCATGCTGTTTGGATTCTTTGGATGTTGTGCAGGTGCTGAGCCCAAGAACCTGCCCGAAAGAACCTGGCCAGTCTGTCCACAGGCTTACTGATTAGCTACATGCGCTACCTGTCCGTGGCACTGCGAGCCGTGTCCCTAGGCAGTGGACTTCCGTGCCTGGTGTCCGCGCTCATCACATAATTTGGTTTCCTAGCCGCTTTTGTGATGATATTTGTCATGTCGGCTGATGTGCGTGTTTCGTGTTGCACGCGTCAACAAAGAAACTTCGGGTGGCTGGCGGCCAGCACCACGGCTGGTTCATCATCTATTCTATGTTTGTGTGGCTCGCACCCTCCGCACTCACTGCGCTGTGTGCTACCATACAATTACAGTTGGCCGATGGTGCATTGTTTCCCGAGCTCCGGCCCAACTTTCATTACGACTGTTGGTTCCGGAATCCACAGACATTATTCGCGCTGTTCTTGCTCCCAACCAGAATCACAATCGCCTTTAACTACGTGTCGTTCTTTGCAATGGCGCTGTCCGGCTGATCGCCACTTCTGACAATGGTTTCCCGACGTCTATGAGTAGTTGCAGCTGCAGCTACGTCACCGGCGTCAACCGGACGCGCAGGAATCTCAAGATCTACGTGCGACTGTCGTTGGTGATGGTCCTGGCGTGGGTGTTCGAGCTGGTCGGTGCGATCACCGACAGTAACATTACGTGGACGCTCAACACGGCCCTCAACTCGCTGCAGGCACGGCACTTTCATATTCGTTGCGTTTAACTGCAACCAAATATCAATGCAGACATTGGTCGTGTTCTGCAAACAACCGTCCGTGCTCGAGATGCAGACCACTACTGCAGCTACGCCGTTCAGTGCATCCACCTAGCGGGTGCCTGATTAAAAGTTCCCAACACATATTGTGTATCTTCTTCGCGGTATGAACATACTGTACTGCTATAGCTGTATGGACATATTTTTGACGCTATTGAGCTCACCATAGTATATTAAATACATAATTTTATATTATATATTTACTGATTTTTGAATATTTACCTAAATGTTTCTTACTGCTATTTTTTCGCAATTTAATTTATTATTTTATTTTATTTTATAATTTATTTTAATTTTAATTTAATTAAAATTTTTATTTTAATTTTATATAATTTTATTTTATTTAATTAATTTTTATTGTAATCGTGGAGGTTTGAATTTCGCATTTAACTATTTTTGTTTATAAGTAAGTTCCAAATTTTGTTATTCCACTTTAATCTCAATTATATATTACTTTTTTTTTGAAATAATAATAGCCAATAGGTATATTTTAATTTTATATTTTCTATAGTAATATTAACAGAATAATAAAAAAAATAAATTGTATTATTAATTAAAGTCCATTAAAAGATTTTTTTGCTATTGATATTTTTATACCAATATTTGTAGAATATTTCTTTTTTGGCACCAATTGGCAATTTTATCTGGTTATTCAACGGTCATAAGAATATTTAATTTTTCATTAGTTTGTATACAATACATAAAAATTTTGGCCTACTGGAAGCTGTATAAAYTATACTATACCTACACAATATGATTAGTGAAATTAATGTACAATAATTGCTTCACAGAACAACCCATTCTTGTAACGAAACTTACAGTACAAGCATTCGTTTTTATTTGTTTATATACATGTTTATAGTTATAAGTTATTTACTGTACAGATATCTAATCACTCAGCAAGTGGATTACTAGGATTACATTGAAGTTTTGGATTAAGAGATTAAAATGAGAGCCAGCTGCCAAGGAACTTCGTTTTAATAATAACTTGTTTTTTAATATTTAAGAATTATATTTGATTTTTTTTATGTAATCATTGTAGTTTAGAATACTTAAGAAATTAAAAAATATGACTCCATTGTCTGCATTTGTCTATAAAACTAGTAACTTATAAGACATTGTATTAAAAATATATAAATAGATCATRTCTATATGTAGATACTTTAATAATATACTTATACATAATGATATTTATAAAATAATTTTGACATTTATATATAAAATTAATATTTAAGAATTCATTCAAAGTATAGCAATATTTGATTTCATATTGCAATTACTATTATTACTCTAAATACGAAAGTTATTGGTTATAACTTTATAAGTTATAACTAATAATATTAACACGATTCCAATATTTCTGATTAAAAAATAAATAGTTAAATTTCGATATCTTATAGGTAAGTACGWCGTATGGAAAATTCAAATCTTGGTAATGCAAATTATTATACCAACGAAAAATCTTTAGCTGCAGTATATAATATTATAATAAAATTATGCATTTTAGTGTCATATTGTTGTTCCATAGCAACTAACGCACAGGCATACCTTATAGTCTATAACAATCAATAGTCGAACAAACATCACGCGACGGTCGTTGTTTTCGTCGTAGCCATAAGATATTTTGTTACGTTATTCTAAAATTAAGCTCATTAATCCGTGTAGTTTTATAAGTTTTACATAGTAATATATTATATTATTCACACCTAAACTATTCGTGTATAGACCATGGAAGAGTTTGCAGACGCCAAAGAAGATGAAAACAAGAAAATTGTCCACACCTATCCATTAGTGCAAGTGAATACTTAGAATTTAAACATTATATACACCTATCTAATACATACAACAGTAGCTTAAGCAGAATTATGAGGGGGGGAKCTCCATACAAATTATAATTTGAATACATGGTTATATTTTTAATTAATATATTAACCGAAAACTAATAGAATTTATAATTTTCCACAAATTTCTGGGATGGAATCTTACATAGACAGTAGACTCTCGCTTGCAATAATAAAACTGGCTTTCAAGAATTAGATATTTAAATATATTTTATACATAGTACATACAACATACATAAATAAAGTAACTCAGAATGTTACAATACTGAGTTAATATATAATACAATAATTATGTTACAAAACTCGTACTTATATTTAAATAGGTACTTATTTTATAATTTATCATTGAATACTTATAATTTATATGGCATATGCATATTATTAATATTAAGTTATCTATCAATCAAATATTTTAAAGTAAATACACATACATTTTTGGAATTKATTAAAAATATTGTTGAATACCTATACCTACTTATTTAATAATTATGCTTAATATTTTATTTTTAATACCAATCATAATAAATATCCAAAACAAATATAATGAATTAAAAGTTGGAGAATTCAAAAATCTAATAACTTTTTTTTTAAATTCATGTTTTTTTATATCTGTGTAAATAATTAATAAAAATAAATAATAATAATATTGTTTATTGTCAGACTTGTGATATGTCAGAAGAAATGAAAGCTGAAACGGTTGAAGTTATAATAACAGCATGTGAAAAATATGGAACAGATTATTTCGTAAGATTAATTATTTTTTGTTAATTTACTCATATTTTTTGTTTAACGTTTTAAACTTTGACACCCTGGTGGCTATTGATACTAATAAAACGGCCCATGGGTAGGTAGTGATTTATTTATTACTACTATATTGAATATTTCGTATACAAAAAATATTCATCATAATAATATATATATATATATATATATATAGTGGGGAGTGAGGACACTATTGTGGGATTCGGAATAAGTATTATAATAAGCTGGCTTATGAGTAAAGATAATTTACAGCCAATTATAAGTACATTACAGAAAAAATGTTTTAAATAATATCAAATTAGTAAGAAATAACCACTCATCACTACCTACTTATATATTGTAGGTATCTAACGCCGGATTTATATACATATTAAAATACTTACCTACTTATTATGAATTTAAAGTTATTATGATTTGGTACTCTAATATAATATACTTTATTTTTTTATTTATTGTACCTATATGTATAATGATTAATGATTATTAATATATGAACTATTGAACTTATTATAAACTATTTTTCATTGTATTCATTGATCACTATAAGTCTATAACTGCATGGTCCACATAATAATAAATAATTATTATAATACAGTCGAGTCCCGATAACTCGAAGTTGAAGCCATTGAAGTGGGATGACAATTCACTTCGAGTTATATTTTATTTAAAATACCTAATTAATTGGGTGTCATAAAATCTAGGGGAATAATAAGAAAAAAAATTGAGTTGTCAAGTTTTTCAAGTTTTCATAACTCGACTGTATGTAGTTGATAGGTAACAGGTACCTAAGTATATGCGCACGCCAATTTATATGATTCAGAATTACAGGTACCGGCGTGTTTAATAGTTGTACACCGCGTAAGTCCCAAGACGAAATTGTAATTAGCAGGTAACCAGATAGGTACACATGTATTATTGAAAATTTCTAATTAACTTTTAGGTGGGCGTTTAAACCGCGAGAGCCTATAGAAGAGAAGCTATATCTTCGGTTACATAATAACGTAATACTATATTAGTTGTACAACAATACTCTCATCGTAATATCATATATTTGTACGTCTGTGTCTTAATTAGTAATTACTAATTACCTTATACCTATGCTGTTCCTTCCTTTTCAATAAGGATAGATATACGACGTATATTTTCTCCACATTATTTTGATAAAAGTGCCTAGTTACTTTCTTACAGTTTTAATAAAATGTTTTACTGAAGTACTTACGAACAATTTAATTTAGGATGTCTTTTAATTTTTATGTTTGGAATATTAATAAAAATAACATGAATATTGTACAGAAACGCTGTAATTTCATTTTTTTTCTTAATATTATATGTTTATAATTTATGCTATTTACTATGTACCACCTAAGACTTGGTAGGTAGGTAACTATTATTATCTGGTTATAAAACTAGTTCAATCAAAAGCTTTTAATTGTATAGTTTTATTGTTTTATGTATATACCTACCATTAGCTTACAGAATTTAAGTCGTAAGTACGATTCCATTTCCAAAACTGAAGCAAAAGTTCCATTTTATATGTTAAAAATAAAGTCATTACAATATTTTTTCAAACATAGGATTTCCATTTGTAAAAATTTACTCGGTAATTAATTGTTAACTATAGATTTTTTTCATCCAAATATAAAAATTAAAAAGAGAGTTTGTTATTTTATTTTCTAGCATGCACATTGTTTATGATAGTATATAAGACGTAAATTCTACATTATAATCCCTCAATTATAGATTAAAAGTTATGGTTGAGTTTGAGGGGCTGAACTCAAAATTACTAAGGCAATTCCAAAATTATTAGACGGATATTCGTCTTCATATCACGTAAAATGTTCAGTTGTAAGTTGTCATTCGCTACAACAGTGGTTCTCATAATTTTTTGTTTCACACCAGATTATTATGCACCACAAGTTTTCGCAACACACTCAGTACAAATTGAATGAAATAAAACTACTGGTTGAAATGTTTTTTTACCAGCGTAATTACAAATATCAGACATTTCTAGTGACAGTGTGACACCTATAATAGTCGATCTCGTGGAACACCTGTTGAGAACCACTACGCTACAGTATAAAACAGAGTTTAATTACATAATATAATAATATTATATATTATATTCATAATATTGAAATAAACTGATCAAATAATAATTAAGAGGAGAGCATTTTTATCACCTACGAGTAGGTACATCGCAGTACTCGTACATCACCATTTACCGTCATCACCGCTTCATTAACAATATTATGTCAATACTTATAATAATAACGCATTGTATCATTTGTATCTATAACTTTAACAGGCGGCCGCCAAGACGGTGAAACAAATGCTAGATAAAAAATACGGTCCTCAGTGGAACATAGTGGTGGGAGAAGCGTTCGGCATACAAATAACGCACCAGACCAATACATTGATGTACATGTTCTTCGGTGGCAATCTCGGCATTTGCGCCTGGAAAATCTAAACGCAACAAGGGTTTACGAGACAAAATTATAAAAATAGTTTCAAAAACAATAACAATAGAATATTATTTAATTGTTATACAACAATGATATCATGTATACTATATTATTATATTATTAAAAACTGATTACCTATATTGGATATTTTGCAATATCAACAACCCTCAGCAAAGTAAATATGAATAATCAAGTATTATACATTTATACAAGATGGCCGAAAGATTTGAAGAATTCGATCGCAAGTGATCGCATCTTTAAAATTCACGAGTACAATATTTATTTAAACCTTGTACTCGAGTGAGGCTATATAGACTGATACTTAATAGTGTTATTAAATTCATAATTCAAGCATTTTTTATTTTATTTCATTAAGAAGGGCTATATCTATCCCATACGACCACACGTGACCATGTATTCAATAACATGGTAACGTGCCTACCCTACGCTGCTACACTCAGTGGCTCTGGCTCAGCCCCCTCAAAATTCAGGTCTAAGTACGCCACTGTATAAGTGTATATATATCATATTATAAGTGTAACTTACACTTAATACCGATAAACACGTATAATAGCCTAAAGGTTTAAGAATATTATCACCATAAACAATTACCTACAAATAATATAAAAAATCACCTACCTAGTTAAACTTATACTTACCTAGAAAATTATACATTATTTTAATAAAAAAAATAACATTTTGATACATTTTAAACTTTTTAAGAAACTACTAAGGCATATTTTTAAATAATGTGAATATATTATATCATTTTAATTTTTTTTAGAAACAAGACACCGTTTGATTTTGAGGAAAAGTATAAAAATTATTATTTTCAATCACAAAATTGAAAATATAGAATAAAAAAATGGTTATTCAATGACCAAAGACTCATTAATTAAATCATAGAAATCTGTTTTGACAACTTGATTTAGCTTCTGTTTTAGAATTACATTCTATTCTAATATTAGCTAGTGTCCCGTGATGATTTACCCACTATGACATCTCCTGAGATTATAAATCTAATTTTTTATAAGACTCACATAGGCAAGCGATACATGTATTTTATTTTTTAATTTAATTACTATTTTTGGTAAAAAATTTAAAATTTTTTTTAATTTTTGAAAACTAAAGATATCTATTATATAGTTTATTTTGCTGAAAATGTTGACCTTTCAACATTTTTTTTTTTTTTTTATTGGTCTTGAAATTTACAAAGAATTTCCGCTTCGACAACTATGGGCTATTAGCGTTGGATTAATTAATATAATTAAAAAGAAAGAGAAAAAAAAATTTGTTAATTTTAATATACAAAATAAATATGTAAATTTTTGAACATTTTGTGTCTTATAATTATGTATATGTCAAAATTGTTGTTGTTAACTTATAATAACTTTAATATTTGAGATKGTTTGAAGAAATGTATYGTTTTTGTTTCGTTTTCAGGATTTGGACCTAGACTTTCTCCAATGTCGTGGCTTATGTTTAATTCTTTTTCAACATTTTATTTTCATTAATCATATGATTTTTAATAATTTGTTAAGTTTATAAATAAAACAGCAAAATACTAGTTTTTATCCGGGCTGCGATTCCCCCTCTACGGCTAATAGGTCCTCACAAGACACCCTGTATTAATTTTTTCAGTTAGGTAAGTAATGTAAAAGTAATAAAAACAAAAAAATATTTAATGTCAACAAATTACTGCAAATATTATATTAATAAAATTAATTTATCAACATTTATCTACATTCTACAACACATCATATTATTTTTGAAATATATAATTCAATTTATTTATTTACTTGTAAAATCTAAGCGTTTGATCAATAACATTATGAAGGATTATAAAAATCACCAAATCAACCTAGATATTTATTAGAAAATTACACAATATTGATAATTATACTTAATAATATTATTAGTAGTTAAGGTAACTTAAAATTTCAAAAAAAAATGTATAATTATAAATTTTAATAAAAATAAATACATTTATATTAATTTTTCATAATTAACTAATTATCAAAATGTTGTCTAGTTTAAATAATGTGTAAAAATATAAACATTACTTATACTTAAAAAATTAAAGCTAAGTAACATTTTCAAAATAAATTCGATAACAAACTTGTAAAGGATTAGATCACTTTTAAAATTGCAATTATTATAGGGATACTTTTGTATACAAAATTAATACATAATAATATGTAGTTATATGTAGTTATTTAAATCTAATAAATTAACAATCAATGTATATTCATGTTAAAGATAAAAATTAAATTAAATTTAACATAAATAATGCAGTATTCATTTAAAAATGTATGGTATGCCGATCAAAAATTACTTTGTTGGAAAAAAGAAGATTACCATCTATTCATATTTTTGTATACATGAGATACAATAATTTTAAATACATAAAATATATTATCTGTAAATTAATATAACAATAGTATATCAATGTATTATTATGTGATAAAAAGTTAGTAACAAATGTGTTACATTTTTCAATGTAAAATCATATAGACAAATCAAAATAAAAATGCATTATTTTATTCATATTCAATGATTATTACAATATAATTATAATTAAAACATAATTTTTATCTTTATAATAAAATCTTCAACTAAAAAAATAAAGGTATACACCAGCAGTACTCATAGGGCCTCTACCTAATCTTGATTTAAGAATAATTTTGTATGGATCAATCAAAAAAAAAGTTAGAAAATATTAATATGAACRAAGAGAAATAGTTTCTTTTAGGTAAAGTAATTGGAATATTAACCTGGTGGTTAATTGTTGAACATTATTTTCAAAAAGATTACATGAAAAGTTTGTTGATATACACAAAGATTGAGTACCGCTGAAATATTGTACTGTTATTTATTTTTTTATAAGCATACAAAATACAAATAGTAAAAATTGTGTGCATTACCTAACCATCTTAAGCATATTTTGTTGTATGGAAATGTTGTTGTTATGTTCTAATGTACATCATTAAATGATACAACTGATACAAGAATTAAATAAAAAAATTAATTTATTCAATCATAGTTTGATTTTGCTGTATTGCTTGAAATAAATCTTTACCATTGATATTATAATTTATTGCCGAAAAAAAATTATGGTTTTATACCAAGTTTACATGAAAAAAAGTATATAAATTTCTAATTTAAAGTGCAATGGATTTAAATACATACATACAAAATACAATTGTATAAAATAATTTAATTAAAAAATAATTATTACAAAAGTTGGCAAGTTATTTACTAATAAATATTTATTAAATGTTTGTCATTTCAAAATTTGACATTACATGTAAATTGAATAATTATTTAATCTAGATTGATATAATAATATCGAATTGTAGAAGCAAAATTATCTTATAAAATTATGTATAACCAAATGGAATTTTTTATTTTGGCACTTTGCTAAAATCAAAAAAAATAATATCATTAGGTACAAATGATAAAGTCTCTCCGTTATATTATAGAGCATGGACAATCGGAATGTACATGTTTTGATAAAGGTTTAGATATTTGCAAAATATCATACATTGGACATTTGTATACAAATTATCACTACGATTTTATAATGTATTTAATTGTTTTCTGGCGAATCCCATTTTAAATGTACTTGAGGTGTTAAATTAACGATTTCCACATGTACAGCTTGGAACTTTTCTAGTTTAGGAGGAATAGGGCATAAGCGATAATGTACTTGATCACCAGGTAACGGAACATATTCTCCTTCAATACTAAAAAAACAACATGCCATTAGTCACAAACCTAAATAAAAATTATAAACTGTAACAATATATCTTACTCTGATATATGTACAAATGTGTCTGGATCACCATTGTCTGGAGTGATAAAGCCGTGTCCTTTAGATTTACAAAAATATTTGACCTTTCCAGATAACAATGGATTCTTGAGAGCTAGAGCAGACCTACAAGTAACAATGAAAATCAATGTCAATGGTAAATAATAACATTAGCATTGGAATCTAGACGATAAGACATATGTGGTGTTGCTTAAATGCGATAATTGACAAACGACAATGCGTCGTACATAACGAGTGCATTTCACCAGTCAAACAATCAGCTATACAAAGTCCATCGCCTTTAAACATTAATGTCAAAGGCAATGTTATGTTATAATTAGGTAATTGTAATACTGCTCACGTAGAATCAGTTCTCGTCCTTCTGGTCACTATCGGGCTCGGGGCGAGCATTCCACCCTTGGTCGGCGAAAGGTGACTGGCGAACTTCAACGCTTCCTGTTCACAGCCGTTGGAGAATGAATCGCTCATGGTGCTCAGGCTTAGTAGTAGTCCGTAGAAAATTGGACACGGACCGGTTCACGATAGTTGTTGATACCACGTTGAGACGATAAACAATTAAATGATTAATATTATTATTACCGTGCGAAGAATAACGAAATCAGACTGAAGATGAAAAGTCGAAAACTCTCTAGTAGTCGAACAATGATTGTTCTAAGTTCGTAAACTGTAAATTAAAGTTGTAAGCGTTTCGGCAACTTGGCGATAAGCACTTAACGTGGTATAGCGTGTGTGTATGTTATAGGGTAATAAATAATAATAAAAACATAGTTATTACGTGCTATTACAATTATTATTATTATTTATATATTATATTGATAAGTAAAAACGATTAACGAAGTCTCGCCTTTCAGTCATGCCAACATAAGCAACAACGAAAAGAAAAAAGGCCAAATAATATTGTGTCGTGTTATTTTACCCGGTTAAATATCTGTTATCAGCTGATTAAACATAATCGAAATTTAACCGTAGACGGTACAACTACTGGCTCTTAACCAAATAACTACATAACGTCTGTCGTATGTAGCTACTTTTTATACCTAGGAATAATTATTAAAAACAATACCTACCTATTAATTATTATACGCAAAATTATTATTTTTATGTTATCCGATTCAATGTCGATACCTATAGGCTATATAATATGAATCGTTGTATTTTTTCGTTAACAATTATTATACATTTTATTTGAATTGTATAGGTACCACAATGTTATGATTTACAAATTATAGTAAATAGTTGGTAAATATCTATTCAGTACCTACTACCTACCTATAACCATATAATTGAGTATTAAGCTATTTCGATATAATATCAATGAGTAAATTTTGCGATGTGCCGATATTTGTAATATTCTATTACGCATATATTCCATGCGACATGCGCACACTCATGTAATATTAGTATTTACGTAGCTGGTAGGTATTAGATATGACGTCGTGTATAATAGGTAAGATTAAAAAGTATAATAATAGATTCTGAGTGGAACGATGAATTTATTGATTTTAAAATTGTTTGTGTCTGTCATCACGTTTTAGGGCAGTAAAAGTGCTTCGATTTTCGACTTCAGTAGGTACCTCGTTCGATTAGAAAATGAATCTAGTTGATTTCCCAATATCTTTCTTGATAATTGGAATAAACAAAATTAATAAGTCTAGGTCCAAACCCTGAAGATGAATCCGAAACAATAGAATTTTTCAAAACAATGAAAATAATAAAGCTACTGTAAGTCAACACTAAAATATTGTAAAATTATTTGAGATATATACCATATTTATTATTATATAATTGTATTTTACTAATAATGAAACACTAGTGGCCTGTGTTGTCAAATCGGACATTTATTTATATAAATTTCAAAATCAATAAAAAAAATTAAAATTAAGGGAAAAACTGGAATTTTTACGCACAGTCAATTTTCGACCAAATTGATTTTGGTTTTTGATGTAACTTTAAGACAAATGACCGTCAATATATGAAATTTTCACCGAATGTATTTATAAGTATTTTCTATCCACCATAGAAATTTCAAAAAATTTCGACTTCAGTTGAACTATTTATAATCATATGCAATTTTCGATTATTATTAATTTTTATTTAAATTAATATCGATAAAAATTAATTTATTGGGTAGAAAAGCTTGAAAATTTAATAAAAGGCTCCTAACATATTGTTACAATAGCAATTGAAAAATAAAATAAATTTATAGTCACAATTTTTTTTATAAGCATTCAAAATTTGAATTTTGACAATATACGTAAAAATCACGAAAATTCACAAATTATTTTAAGCTAGAAATTCATAAAAAATTTTACTTTTAAATCTAAGATTTTAAAATTTTTAATAACYTGTAATATATCCTATACAGACAAACCATCTCCGCTCAGATTCGTTATTCGCATACAATAATATATCATTGGATTCAAATTTAATTCCATCCATTACAGTAACCCATTTGTACAGCAGAGCGACATCTACGACTACCCGCTTTTTTATTTATATTATTGTTGTGCCCAGTGATGGAGTTGTGTTGGCCGTGGAAGGGATTCGGGAGTATTGGAAAATTTTGTACAAGGTTCCAACAGCTAATTTTTAACTACTTAACAATTTGCAAATCTTCATGAAAATAGTGATATTTGTCTAATTTTCAAATTAAACTTTTATAAAATTACAGTATTCGATATTTTTAAATTGATGTAAGAACAAGTTATTTAGGATCTTGTATTCATTATTAATCAATTATTCAAGCTTTTTGGCCGAATACCTAGCGTACCTCAAGCATACCTAACATTTATTATCAATATTTATAGACTAGATCCAATGAAAAATCTGTAAAGTAAGTAACTTCTGACTTCTCTGTTTTACAGTAACTAGCAAGAGTCGAATGTACCTACCTCGTCATTGAGTATATAGGAAATAGGTCATAATCATGGATGCGTAAAATATAAATTCATTGATAAATCATTTCAAGCTAAAAAAATTCAAAACGGAGATGGTCTGTCAGCTTATTATCATTAAACATACAAATACTAATCTATTTTATTAAATAAAATATAATATCATACCTAAAAGTTTCAAAACCCTATAAAAAATATTTTTGAATTACAATAAAGTAATATTAAAGCCAATATCGAATTCAGTCCAACTTTATCTTGAAATATCAAAAAAAATTCAAGTACCTATGTGATAAATGTATATATATACCCATATTTTGATTTTATTTATCCAAGTATAAGTAGTATCTGTTCATTCGTTTTTGATTTGTGCCTAACTCCTAAGGCCTAAACATTTTTACAAATAATTATGTATATCGTATATGCATATAAATGAATAACAACACGATTCAAAATGTAAATCTTCTAAATAACCACATTATATTTCAAAGCTCTTAAATTTTACACTTCAGTTWAGYGGATAGAACCAATGGTTTACAACTATAATCAAGTGATCACACAATAAAGGTCGCCGGTCGGTGTACATGAATGCATATTTTTTTTGTCTAACGATTTAGGTGGTTAAGTTGAACCTATCATTACCGTAGGTATATAATAAGTACTTATTAAAATAATTAAACAATAGATTATTTACTACTCAAATTATAAGAGGAATAAAATACATGTTATATTATAAGCTGTTGATTTTTTTTGTACTTATAACTTATAAGTATAACAATAAGTTTAAGACCAAAAGATACGAGAAAATACAATTTTAATTAGTTATCGAAAATACATTATGTATTCAACTGTGATAATGTCTGCAGACTTTTTATAATAGGTAATTTATAATTCTATTAAATAATACAATCTTATCGAGTTCTATAAACTAATTTAAAATTAGTGTGCATTGAAATGAGCCGATTATACATTAATAACTACTGTGATTTTCTTCATATTATTGTTTTCTTCGTTTTTTTTGTGTGTTTTAAGTACCTAAGATATCTATTTTCAATTGTTTGGTGTCTCCTTCCCCTGCAAATGTTTTAACGTGTATAAATATTTTAACTTTTTACATGCATTTATTTACAATTGTTAACATTTACAATTGTTGACGACTGTAATTATGCTAATATTCGGCAAGTCTTAATACTTCATTATAATATATACCTACTATAGTGAGTATTTATATATATTTTTTTTAAATTGTGTTATTCTAGCACTAATAATAATTACGAATGGCTATAGGTATACTTACTAACCATATTTTCCTATGCTTGAATTTTTGTGTAATTTAATTTAAGAAACCGGTACTTTAATAATGCTTAGATATTAATTGTTCAAAAATATTAATTTAGATCTCGTATTTTAATTTATCTTATATTTGTCGAGTCTTTACTCTTCAGAATCGCTTCGGTTAGGTATGCTAAATATATTCTTAAATTTGATTTTTGAAAAGTAATTTTTTTATAATTTTGATACTTCATCATTGTATTTAATGTTAAGTTTGAATTACGATGCATTGACTAAGCTTATAGACAAGAATCAACTATTTTTAAACAGTTATAGTAAACCAACATAATTAGGTACACTACATGTGTGCAGAGACGCAGAATGTTATGTTAAGCTGTTAGAGTGTATATTATATATCATTTTTCAGTGTATGTGCTGATTTTTGTTCTTATACAACTGTTTTGAGATTCAACGTACTTTATTGCTTCGCCAGTGTTGCAAAAAAATTAAACATTTTGCATTGATGTAGGTACCTATACAAATTGATTTACATTACTTGTTGATTTTAAAATAATTTAGTAATATTAAAATAATAATTCTATAATATACATGTGCTATTATTAATTATCATTATTACGTATAGGATTACTTTATCGATACACAAGCTGGGGAAATCTTAGACTTACTTAAAGTCGTCGGAAATATGATTCTGGTAGATGGTTGAGATGTTAGAATAATTATATAAAAACTAAAGGCTTTACAGAAAATGTGCAGTAGGTGTGCTTGCATAAACTAGACTAACTCTGAGAAGGGAAAAAGTCTAATAAGTTATGATATAATCTAATTACATGCACAAAATATTATTGTAATAATAAATAAGAGTTCTTTTATATAATATAAAAATTAATTATAATCTTATGTTAGTTACTCGATATCAATGAATAATCATATTCCTCTATTGCATTCTTTGATTTATTTCAATTTATATGATATGTTAGAAATGGTTTACATAAATACATTCCAAAAACAAACTAGCTTATAATTAGGCTACCTACAATTTTTTCTACATCTACCAATAAATTACAACACGATTGTGCATCAATACTATTTGTATATATTGCATAATGTACTTTATAATTATGTATATCTATATTATGATAATTTAACAAATAGGTTGTATTTATATATTATTGCATGTCATTTGTAAATCATGATTTTTCAATCAGCGGGATGTTATTTATTAACTCTAATATTTCTTACAGAATACAGATCATCTGCATAATGTAGCCTTAAAACTTCAAATATTTACATGCAATTTATTAGCTATGTGGCATACAATAATATTATTATAAAGCAATAATTAGTATATTTCAAAATAGTTACACAATTATACAATATGTCAGTGTACATTAATGAATACAATAATTTTTTTTTTATATATTCTCGTATATTATGTTTAAGTAAATACTGTGTAATATAGTAAACTATATAAAAATGTATACTTTTATAACATAGGTTGTATAACTTAGTAAAATAGTTTTCTCTTCAATAATATAGTTATTCAAAAACTAAATTTTGAATTTTAAAACATATTTAATAACCATGTTTTAAAATTATTGAGATCTTTTGTATTAGTTAAGTTGTATCACGGGGAGAATAAATTTCCATTTTTTTTAATGAAAACTCTCTTTTTCTTCTTTAAATTATTTAGAAAATTATTTTAATTCGAATCCGAACAATGKGAACAAATGATATTTTATCTTGGCGAGAAAAATCTATGAAACATAAATATGTTTTTGTTAATTAGTAACCATAAAAATTAACCGTAAGTATGAAATTTGATGTCACAGGTTCGAAAAAAAATTGTATCYATACCAAAAAGTGAAAAAACATATTTGTGTTGAAATTATCCACTAAAAAAAAGTAATATGTAAGTAGGTATAGTAGTTAAATTAGATGACGGAACATCGTGTTTTTTTATGTTCACTATCGTAATACCTGTAAATAGTGTCAGTATATCACTCAACATATTATACATATATATATATTTTTAAATCATATAAGTTAATCTCCTGCTTAAAATATAGGTACTCAATAACGATTAATAACGTCTTATAATTTAATTCTTACTGGTCTTTACAATTGTTTAGAATAGGTACCTATACTATTAATTGATTTATCCAGAAAGCCAATATTTTTTAGAAATGGATTGTTTAAAAAAAATTTAAAAAATGTTTACACTTAGGTACTTATATTACAATACACAATACAGGTATAATTCGTATCACGTATTTTTTGTCATTCTGTAAATGAAAAGATAAGAAACAAATATAAATGTTAAAAAAGATAAATGTTAAGAAACATTGGATAGTCTGTTAAGTGTTTATCCAGTAATTAATTGTTCAGTCTTAAACATAGAAAAATGCTATGTATTTACATACATATATATATATATATATGTGTGTGTGTGTATAGATTCATTGATGTTGGTAGCATAAATGAACTTGTAAATATAACTATGTAAGGTATAGAGTTGTAGGTACTTCATACGTACTGGTTGTAATTAATATTATTACCATTTTATCAAACAAATTTAATACAATATTATGTAAGTACCTACGCCATACTTTATATATTAGTATTTTCTAAGTTAATGGAAAAATTATTTTTAGTAGTTCACTAATAAAAATAAAACAGGCCAATAACATATTCTATGAAAATTGTATACATTCCACCATTCCGGTCATTCCAGATGTTACAATATCTTTGAGTATGTACTTATGGCCAAAAATATCGGTCATTCTATATTCAGTAGTAGAATGTTATACATCGGTTAATGGTTTAGTTGTATTACAACATAAAACGGACATGTTTGTGTCAAAACGTGTGATTTACTTTATTCCTTAGAAACGTGTATTATGGATTCGTGTATAATAATTAACGTAATAAATGCAGATCAACTTTAATCTAAATGATAATATATTAATAATACAATTTGGTAGTATATTTGCAAATGTTAATACTTATAAGATATAATATGTGACGTATTTTAGGTGCTGAAAGTGCTTGCGACGTTGGAAATTGAAAATGAGTATGTATAACATTTTATTGTGCCTACTATAATATATTTTGTAATACTACCTATAAAGTATATTATAATTTAATATAATAATTTATCATTTATTATAAACGATAAAATATTACTTATACCCGTGAAGCCTTAGGTAGGTACTTCTAACTATAAAAACATTTGAGACAATATGTTCTCTTATTTACATATCTGCCTATGTTATTCATATGTAGACAGAGTTGTACTTAAGTGTCAGTGTAAATTTTCGTATGAAGTATGATAATTGTATTTACTTAGCAATGTTTTCTGGTTAATATCAAGTTCTCGAAATATCTTGTCTACTCGTATTCATATTTAATATATTTAATCAATTTAATCATTAAACATTTTCATAATATTATATTTCAGTGTAGATCATATTTTTMGTCACATATTTCTAGACAGAAATTTATATCTAAAACAGATAAATTATTATAATATCAAGTACAAATTCCGTTTTAAAACCATAATTCAATGAAGACAAAGGTAATTAGCGTGGTACCTATAAGTTTCGTTMAATTTAGTTTAAATTTCGACAACAATAAATGGTTTATATTATGTAGAAGGTACTTAAATAGTTATAGTTTACATTTTATGGTGTTGATATGATATTATAGTACAACTTCTAGATTATCCACACTAGCAGTCAGCAAGAACTTAAATATTGTGGTCATTGCATAACTACTATCCCTGAACGTTTTAATTTGATTTCTATTAGTGAATAATTGATCCTAAATCTTGAATCATTCATGCGTTTGTCCAATATTGTTTCATTCGAGTTTAGGCAATGAAATTGTTTTTATTTTAGCAGAAGAAGAATTTATTTCCTTATTTATTCCATTCTTTGACATTAATATTTTGTAGTGGTCGTGGCGGTGACCTATCATTTTATATCAATACGAAGATGTCAAAAATAAATTAAAACGCCTCCATATACTATTAAACTTTTTAATTTTGAACTGCCAAGTTCACAGTTCAATTAATAAATAATAAGTAATACCGTAGTAATCGTTTACATTGGCTGGTTTATAAAAAAAATTGTCACGTATTTTAAAATATTTTTATACAACCGACGTTGRTTTGGTGACCGCAGTAGCTTAATACACAGAAAAAAACTGTTAAATTTTTAACTGGTGATAATGAGTTATATTCGATAACCACATGTTAATATTTACGCTTATTTTTATTGCAGTTACAGTGCAATTAGAAAATGGTAATAACCAAGAAACTCCTACACTGAACAATAATTGTGTTTCAAATATCAAACAGAACGGCCATAATACAAAACCTATGAATAACGATCAAATTCCTGGCTATTTGTCAATTTACACAATATTTCAGGTATTTTTACGAAATATTTATTTATTGAAATTCGTCCAAGTTATAAATATTAATACAATTCTCATAACAAATTAAATAGGTATGTATCTTTTTTGATTTCAGTTAATTGGAATATTCCTTATACTATCTGTCTTTTTATGGCTTCAAATTTATCGGACTGGTTTCGGTTTTAGCGGAACAATACATATATGCAACTGGCACCCTTTATTAATGACAATCACGTTTATTTATTTATTTGCGAATTGTAAGATTTTATTTTAAAACATGCATTAAATAATAATTTATAAAGATTAGAAATATTACATTTAAATAAATTATGACTATCGTACAGCCACTTACGCCTCTGAGCTCAACATTATTTTTACAAACCAACTCAACCTTCAAGTATTAAAACAGCTCCTATGGATCACCAAAAATCATTCTCATCTATTTCAATCTAACGTCATACAAAAAAAAAAGAAACCGGCTCCAACATTTACAAACCAAACTTCTTAGATCTAAAAAACAGCCTTCCACCACATCGCCAAATTTATGTATATGCATCCAAAAACATAGAAGAAACTGCAATCGCATTAATTCAGCCAAACTCTCAAACAGCACTTCAGACCCCAGCTTACAACTCCATTTACACATCAGAATATCTAGCTCATTTAAAAGCCACAGAATTAGCCGCTACCTCAGATAGTCAATGTACAATCATATATACTGACTCTCTCAATGCTCTCAAAAACTTAGTAAATCCCAAAAAATACAACCTTATTCGCACCCAAATATTGAACATCCTATTCATAACCAAAAAATACATTAGATACATATGGGTAATATCACACAAAATGTAAACATATTTCTCTTAAAACTTATTGTATCAATTTTTCACCTATTTACAATTTATTATTTAGTAAAAATTAAGTTAACTATTATAGTTATAGACATATTATATGTMTTTTGAAACGCCAATAACCCCGGTAGTTGAGGCGTATTTGTTAAATAAAAAAAAAAAATATAACTATATCATTTAATTCGATACTAAAATGATATAATCATTATAATAAAAAAATGACCATATGAATAATATGATGTATCATGATATATTCTGATGTATATATTTTTTAATTCAATTTTATAGCATGAATACTAATATAATTTAATTTATAATTACTGATAAAGTATATATGTGGCAGTTAAAAGTATGAAAGATGATAATATAACGTTTCAATAATGTAATGCGAGTTTGGAATGCAATTCAACTGTGAAAATTTTAAATACTCAGAATACCTAATGTTAAGCTATTTTTATAACGAGCCTGTTCTATGTTACGCAGATAAATTAACGCAGATTAATAAATTAATATCAATACATTTTAAATTTAAAATATCTAGTTATGTAATTTTTTGGGCAACAATTAATTAATCCTTCCATATAACTAATTGAAAAAATCTATGAATCAAAAGTAATATTGATATAATATAAATAATTCTTAAAAATAGTGGCTGACACAACGTCTCCGCTCAGAATTGTTTTTCATTTACCTACTTTGATTTCTTACTAAATTCAAATTTATAACGTATGCAACGAATCACTGTAATAGTAACTAAGGTACTCAACGATGAGATACACTTGGAAATCTAGAGCAAATTACCTGATTTTTTGTTTTAGATTCTATTAAAATATTTAACCAATTCTCTTGTATGCAAACAATAAGTTATTTGATTATATCACACAATTAAAATTAAATTGAATTTTATTAAAATAAAACTATATTATATAATATGTATTATTTTTTCAGCTATCCTCCATTTCAGAMATTTTCGAAATACTTCAAAACGAAGATTAAAAATCCAGCATGCAACAATTCATAGTTGCATAATCATCTTCGGGGTTCTTGGTATATGGACTGGTTTAAATTCGAATTTAATTGCTAATCCACCTATTCCAAAATTTTACAGTCTTCACAGTTGGTTTGGAATTATAACTGTTATAATGTTTTTCTCTCAGGTAAGTCCAATAGACATTTTCTTTTTTTTACTAAAAAATTTTCAAATATAAATAGATTAATAGCCCACACTGCACATAGCACATATAGTATCGATGAAAATAATAGGTATTTTATTTTTATGAAATGTTGTTTATTGTGTACTAATTTAGTATATTTTATAGTTTACTAGTGGATTTATATCATTTCTTTATCCTGAAATAGCAATGAGATATAAAAAAGTTGTTATGCCGTATCACATCATTTTTGGTATACTGACATTTATATTATCTATTGTAACTTCAATTCTGGGATTTAGTGAAAAAGTCTTATTTGCATTGTATGTATTCACCATCAACAAATTTGTTAAGAATCTTGTAAATATTAATATAATACAAAATGTTTTATATTATTATAGGAATCAGCAGTATGAGCATATGCCGACAGAAGGACTATTTTTAAACTTTGTAGGGATAATATTAATTGTATATGGTGTATTGGTCGTGTACATATTGATCAAACCGGAATATAAAAGATCTTCTAAGCCAGATGATAGAGTGACAACTAATAGGACTTGAACTTAATTTTGATTTTGTGATTTTGTGATTTTATATTTTATTTATTTTATTTTAATGAATGTAACTACCAAAACAATGTCTGACAGTGAAGATAAATAACGAATTAACTGTCTTTTGTTTCTGTTTATATAAGTGCAGATTAGATGTGTGATAAGTGATTTGAAAAATAAAAGCATTTATTAACATCGCCTAGAAAATGTTTTCAAGCGAAGTTCGATAAAATCTGCTCATTTTAATTATTTTACTTTAAAATTGTCTTGAGTAATGTTTTTTACGTTTTTTGAAAATATCTGAGAAAATTGATTTCCACTTTGTAGTATTATTATGTATAAAGAAAAATTACCGATAACCATCTAATATTTTTTAAGGAATGTCAAGCTAGATTTATCCTTAGTCCTGAATTTAAGAATAGTATTTTTAATGCAATAATTCATAATTGATTTTAAAATTGATAACAAATTCTATATCAGCTATTTTTTATTTTACTCAATTTAAAAATTGCTATCCTTATAATGTTAACATAATAGCATTCATATGTATCATTGAAATAAGTGTATCAATGCTTTGTCTTTTAAAAAGTAGGAATACAATTATTATAGTTATAAAAAGTACATAATAAATTATAGGTACTTTAAAAATACTTAAATTTTTATACATTATAAATAATTTACTGATGATGAGTAGAATTTGTTATGTCTGTTAAATTAAAAATATTAATCTATGTGTAAATTTCAATGGACTTAACACATCAGTTGGTTAGTATCACGCACGATTACAAAAAATGTATCAACTATCAAGTGAAATTACATCAGTAAGTTTAAAAGCAATGTTTTTAACTATGACAATAGTCAATATTGAATAAGAATTTTATATTAACAGTTAATACTGTAATATGACATTATGATGATGTACTCCACACGTTAGGTTATATGCGTTAAATTTTCATAATTATGAATCAATTATATCATACATATGAAGTATTGACAGAGAGTAATCGAGCTCGACCGATCGAATACAATATATATGCTTGATCGTTTCAAAACACAACTTGAAACACACATTCACACGTGCGCACGCACACACACATTCACATATTTTATGTAAATGGACATGGCTTGCTTTTAAGTGTTCTGTGTTCTGTTGCTCGGCAACCGTTTTGTTGTAGGTGTTGTGTGGATGAGATTCGGATTGCAGGTATAATATAGTAGGCCTCAATTTTATTCGGAGTTCTCTGCACGCAAACAATAGTCGTGTATCGTGACATCCACGAAAATCGTATTGTTGTCGATACAATGTCATAGTTATAACTTATCATTAATTAATCTATGGGCAGCGGTTATCGCAGTGGTTTGATGTTCATATTAAGTTTTCATCCTTAATTAGTTTTGGTTAAAATAAAATGTCCAATTTCAAAAAGAATTCAAAGGCTAATAAACACATCGTGACGTCCACGGGGCTATCATTGCAAGGCTCTCAAGTATGTTCATTGCAGCATAATACAATCATATATTCGTACGATGTATTATACATAGTAACGTATTTAAATATTATGTGACATTTAAATATATATAGGTATATATTACAGATGCGTTAAAGATTCATTTAGTTGATTATTTGTTTATAAATCTATGATTAGGTATTTATCTTATTGGTTTAAGACACTTAACAAATTAATTATTATGCACGTCATGCACTTTTGCACTATAAATAAAATAAAAACAGAAAAATATATAACTACAACAGTGTTTAAATATTAAACTGTATGGGTAAGATTGGGTTATGGCTAAAGAACGGAAAGTTAATAAAAAATTATAAATTTTAAAATGTTATTAAAATAACAGAATAGTAAATTAAATATTTTAATGACATAACTTATAAGTTATAAATGTCTGTCGTGCATAGACAACAATTTCAATCTGAAATTCGTGACTATAATTACAATTGATAACATAACCTAAAACAAAACCACTGAACTTCGAAAACTTCAGTTGCACTCTCTCAAATTGGAAGAGTTCCCACTAATAGTTTGAGGATTCAATAAATCATAATAATTTATAGAAACGTTTCAAACAAACGCAACGATAATGGGTCCAAGGCAGGTTTACAATTTTAAATAAATAGGATTTTTTGCATAGTGAGTCCGTTATAGGTCCTTCCATAAATAGTAAATACCGATTTATATTATTTTGCATTTTACATACGTACACCTATATTGTATTGTTTTAAAAATGCTTGTAATACTATTATTTATGTATTCTGATAAGACCGAAATAGTAACAGACAAATACCACACAACATATTATAGTCTTTTGTCTAGTTTTTTCTAGTACCTACCTACTTTTATTATTGTACTACACGCTAATTTTATCAGCTCACGTGTGGTATACAAAAAAATAAGAAGTACGAGTATTTTTTTGTATTTATTCTAATGTGTGTTCAGCCTAGGAAACGAACCCATCTGGTTAATAATAATAAATACAATTTAATCAATACATATCATGGTGGACAGGTAAAAATGTATTATAATAGTCTATTGTCATAGTATCATAAAATATAAAAATATTTTGTTTAACACAAAAAATATTACAGAAGTACAATTTTGTATTGGATTTATTTCTCAAAAATACATGTGAAATATCTTTAAATTACTTGATTTGTATGTTTTGATGCCTGTCGGCTGTCCTATAAAAATATATTTAAAATACAGCTACAGAGGCAATTCATTTGTCCCATATCAATATATAGTTATTTTAATATTCAGTTATTATTTAATAGAATGTTTTATATGATTGAAAATATTTTATAGGATATCGTTATATAATTTATTCAATTTCACAACTATACAATATGTGACTCGTTATGCAACACATAGCCTTACGTTGTGCTTTATCACCACTGCAAGAAGCATTCCAAACCATCCTTCAACAATGCAAGAAGAACTCGGAAAATAAAACATACTTATCTAGTCTATGAATTTTTCAGAACCATGGGTATCGATAAAATTTTTTTAAAATAACACAAAACGCCGTGTTAAAAACTTAGAAGTTGTATAGTTATATAGTTGAGCAATTCATTAATACCAATATAAATATAAATGTTGGCTAATAATTTAATATATAATAACTAAGATATATATATATAAACTAATACACAAACAAACTAAAAATGAGAGTAGGAATATTGTGGTAAGATTTAATTTTATAGAATCCATGACGTTTTCACATCTATAAACTTTTCTATTCTTCTGAGTTGTTGATTTATGAATTATTTTCTCTATCCTGTCATATTGTACTTAAATCGTTTATGCGTGTACCTACTTTGCTAGTCACGCGACGTCTTAAATTTGAATGAATATTAATTTATGYATCGAACATAATATGTAAGTGTGCGAATTAATTTTTCACTAGCAATGGTACTTAATTTTAAACAATAATGTCATTATGAAACTTTGTATTCCTACTGCAACTTATCATTATTGTGGGTATGTATAGTAAATGGGTTTTGTTATTTAAATATTAAATAATTATTAATACTATAAAAATATATATGTATGAATTATGATATATAGAAAGTATGATAAAATATTGTATAGTATGTTCCTATATATACCTAAATTGGCTAAATTATATATACCTGGCCCGTAGCGCCAGAACGAATTTCAAGTTGAGCAAACCAAATTTTAGGGTCATTCTAAAACATAGAAACAATATTAATTTCTTATATCTTTAATATTTCTAGAGGAGAAAACGATTAGGTTTATGGAAGGCAACGCCGCATCTTGCTGCAAGCCTGTTATATGCCCATATAATATAATTACTGATATTTATAAAATTATAACCAGTAAGTTCATTTGTATTTTTGTCGTAGCTTTAGGTGTTCAACACGTACATTATGTATACATCTTTTGATAATTATTTTCTTAAAATGATGATGATATTTATTGTTTTTTAGTATTATACGTATTATTGTATAAATAAGTATTTATAGTTTAATCTGTATAATATTTTGTTCAGATTAATCTCTCTACCCGTTTATCGAATTTGAACATATCAAATCCTTTACATTATTTGTATAATGAAACCGTCGATACATCTTCGCGTGGAAGACCGATGTCTGCTATGACATTGAGTGCTACATATCAGGTTTAATGATTAGATAAAAAGCATAAATATTATAAATTATTCCTAAACAAAGTATCATTCGTTAATTTAATTTTTTTGTTTTAGGAATCACCACGTAAGTCAAGGCTAGTTAAGMGTCCCCAATCTGCAGACACAATAAATAAAATTACCAAAAGCCGACATATTTCATTTGATTTCAACGATCAACAAATGGACACGGGTAAATATTGAATAACTGAATATAGCTAGGTAATAAAAAAAAAATGTACCTTATTAAAATATTTTTTTGAGCGAGTTAAGTAACACATTTGTGAATTATCCAAGAGTTTTTGCAATACTTAGTGTACATCACTTATTTTCTTACATTTAACAATCACAATATTACATTGAATGAAATGTAATCAAACTTTAAGATGATTATATTATAACAAATGAAATTTTTTCATTAGAAAATATGATTTAAATTCCGTTAAGAGTCCTTTTATTATTACATCATATTCAAAGTTAAAGAAAAATACAAATACAATTATTTGCTTCATTATTATTAAATTGTTTAAACTCATTTTATTTTATTATATTTTCAAAACCAATAATAATAATAATGAACATTCTAACCTATAAGTTATACGTAATATTATATCCTAACTGAACAATCTGGATTTATCACGCGATTCAGSGTGGCTCTATGTGTATGTTTTAAAATCTTTGCAATTTATTTATATGCATTAGCAAAAGTTTATATAAGTTTATATACAATACACACGCCACAATGTTATAAAATAGTGTACATGTTGGGTGCATAACTACAATAATATACTCATGTATAATAAATGTTAATTATTCAAGTACCAGCATATTGTACTATGCATTAATAATTATTCATCAATCACAACTGCCAATAACAATTTATAAAAAATATAAATACTTATAGCTATAAATACTCCATAATAATTGATACTTGCAATGATGTTTATCTGTTAGTATGTTTTTCTATTTAACTGTAGTGGAGTTCATTAGAGTATATTTTAATATTACGACTGCCCAYCAGTGTCGGCCTGGTACTT